TAGAGGATACCACATGACAGGAATGTATTGGTCCATGAACCTCATTGGGCCCTGCTATCAAAAGGTCCTTGATTCTGTTTGCACAACAATAACATGTTATTTGTAAGATACTCTATAGTTAACACAGCCTATACTGTAACAGTATTTTTGATCAGGCCTAGTCTGGATTTCTCCAGAAGATTGATTTACAGTGCTTTTGTCCTCTTAAACCTAGGTGTCCTGTTTGCTCGAAAGCCGGTCATTCCAGTGATACACGGAAGCAATGGAAACAGCATGAACAGCTCTCAGGGAAAGTCCAGTCCAGGACAGCCTGCACAAAACCAGCCATCCTCGTCCTCCTCAGCCCATGGGCAAACCTCCAGCAGGAGTTCCTCGCCGTGAACACTCTGCTCATCCCACAGACAGTCACGGACCTCCTTAACAAGTCAAGCAGTCCAAAAAAATGAAAAAAGAAAAGACTTCTGTGTTTTTGGATGTGGCGTTTTGTTCTTTTTTGTTCTCATTCGTTAAAGAGTTTCCAAATGCAAAACGGAATATAAAATGGTTACTTGTAAGGACGTTGCTTCAGCAGAAACAAACAAAAAAAAAACAATATACTTGCTCTTAAAAGTGTGTGAACTGCAGCTTTGTCAGTAAAAACAAAAAATGCATACATAGAAATTTTCATATTGTGAACATCATTTTCTAGTTTGTATTAAATTGAACAGTAATGGATGGAACTACCTGAAAACAGGCGTTGTTTTGAAGGAGACAACCAGAAGGTATTGTGGGAAAGAACAGATGGATAGGCAGGGGCAACTAATCTGACCCCATGCCCTTCTTGAAAAGGAGGTGAGGTTTGTTTTGTTCAGTCCTGATAAAGCCGTGGCTGACAAGGCATAATTTAAAAGCTGCATTAACATTGTCAGCATTAGAGTACGTTTGTCAGATGATACGCAGTTCAGCAACTTGGACTTCTTTAATTACACTGTGTTGCTACAGGCAGAGGGAGGGTGCTTTTCTCAGCTTATACCAAAGAATAACAAATCATTGATTCAAAGTCATTCACATTGCTCAGTAGAGGAAAACAGATTTTATCAAATATTAAGGGCACAATGGCACTACAACAACAGATTCTTCATCATAAACGTTTATGCAGTACTGTAGTGCCAGTAATAAACATAAAGATGAGAACCACACTGTGTTGTTTTCTGATAAATCAGATCCCACTGAATATAATATATAGAATAGGATGCTAAAAGCTATATGGGGTCATTACCGTTTTTTTGTATGGAACAATCGTTATGGCAGCATGCAAGGCACTGCCTTATAGGCAGCAGTGTGGAGTAGTGGTTGGAGCTCTCACTGCATAAAGGGACAGTGGTTGGTTCAAATCCCATGTGGAACACTGCTGTCGTGTCCTTGACTGAGGTACTTTGCTCATATTGCTTCAATAAAACGCTGTATAAATGGGTAAGTTGCTTTGGATAAAATCATCAGTCTAGTAAATTTATAATAAAAAGCAATGGCAGTGGTAAAAATCCTTTCACAAAACTTGTCTGATAACACATTATGCCTGATACCGAAACCTTAAATACAAAGCCTGCCCCTTGACCGAGTGACATGTCTGAAGTAACCACAATGCTCCACTGTTGGTTGTGGACATGAGCTTTCAATGCATTGCTGGTGTTAGAACATCGCATGCTTAGTGTAGAATCAAAAGAGCAGCAGTCATCTTTTAGAAGACTTAGGGTGAACCCATGTGATCAGTGACAAAAGGCGTAGGATTAAAAGATGGGATTTCGATTTGTACGTAAGAGTTTAAAAAATAGCAATTTAGCTGAATTTAAGTCACAAACAAGAACCAAAATGTCTGAGACAGCAGTCTAGCCAGGGATCAACAGGGGGCTGCCACTCTGACAGACCACCTCGGTGATTTCCACAGTGTGTCTATGCTCCATTGGCCCTGGACAGACATTGCATATCAGTGTCACCAGAGCTCTGTACACTGATGGACAGAAGTGCCAGTGGGGCATTTGATTCCTGGGTGATTTACCAAGCAGTTGAACTGTTGAAATCAAACCAAATACCCAGGGTGAATTACAAACCAAGGAGTGGAAGTTTCAACCATATTTAGTGGCTTTATTGTGAATCAAATCAGTTTTTCATATTAACTCATGCACTTGTCTCTAAGACCAGGAAGGTTGAATTTTTTTCTTAGGGAAGATAGGTGGAGGTTTGAAGGTGTGTTTGTATTTGCTTTTTTATTAAGTTCATTGAGTCTATAGTTTATTTTATTTCTGTTCATATGCTCTTTGAGAGGCTATACACATTGAGTCAGAAATCAACACCACTGCTTTGTTTTAAACCTTTTCTATGTCTTTGCAGATGCAGCCAGATACCTCACAAATATACCTGTATATACATAGATTATAAATACAAAATATACCTCATTATTATTATTATTATTATTATTATTATTATTATTATTATTATTATTATTATTATGATGATGTACTTGAAAAACAATGTTTTTGTTTCCACGGCTCACTGGATTTTTTTTCTTATTTTGTATTGTTATGCCAAAGAAGGGAATATTCTATGCTAGCGCATCTACCTCATGTTTTATAGACTGTGCCAACAGATACAAGCTTAGCTGTCAGTTTTGGACTATAGTCTGTAGGTCCAGATATTCTATTGTTTAATCACAAGATTTATTTAAACAAAAGCATATATATATATTAAAGGACCTTTAACATATCCAACATATCCAACTTCAACTGTTCACATTTCTATTTTGTAACATGTATTACTGGGATGGAAAATACCGGAAGGCTTTTTATGCATGGTCCCTATTACTAGGAATTATGTGAGACACAGTAAATTATTGTAATTTGTAACAGGCTCAATGCCATTCATGTTACAAATACAGTATCTTACATCAGTAACTTAAAATGAACACATTAAGGTATTTAATATTGTTACCACAAAAAAAACAGTATCTTCCACTTTAGGAAACGGAATATTCTGTTGGATTAAAATATCTAGGTTGTTGCATTCAAATAATCTTCTTTAATTTACAAGGTGTTTACTTCATAACCATTTGTTTCCAAAGATCAGATTGTTAAAATGTGGATATCGAGCATTGTTAGTTTGGATGAATGTGTTGAATAACTTACAAGTATTAATACTTTATGAAAGCTGGTGAGTCTTGTTAGCCAAGACTTCCTCGAAATTCTTAGTGACATGATAAGCTCTACAAGGAATTGTTAATTTCAACAAGATTCTGAGAAAGAAAACAAAATAAAATGTATTGTTCGCAAAGAATTGTGTAACACAAAATTCAGTTCAACAGAATTCAAGGATTTTTTTTTATTTGTTAAAATTAAATGTATTTTCTGGGACCATCTCTAAGAAGAGTGTAAAAATCAGTCGGCTTTGGGAAAAACAATGCTTTCATGTTTTAATTACACACAGAGTAGCACACAGCTTATTTCATACTCACTTTTGTGTGTGTGTGGGGGGGGATTTCCATTTGAGAAGTGTAATTTTTTTTGGAGCGCATTGGCACAGCCTATACATATACATATAATTGTCAGTTCCCTGCCACATCATTAGATTCCAAGGAATGATAGGAAGGGAATATATTTCCAATAACTGGACAACTTTGTTGCTGACTGTGAAACAAGAACATGAAACCTTCATAATTCTTGTACCAAAGATCAAAAGCAACCCATTTCTCTTTACTTTGTAAAAATATATATATGAATCACAAAAAGAAAAAGAAAAAATAGCACATTGTTTAAAAAAAAGATTTACTTCTGTCTATAAAGTATGTTGTTTACTTTGTTTAAAAAAGTTTTGCAATGCTATGCTGGTAGATTGTAGATCCTATAATAGCTTTACTCGCTGTGTATGAGGCTTTAAATAGTTCTTTTTCTTGTTCATTTTGGATTAATCCAGTGCATTATATGAAATCTGGATTGTGGTGCTCAGGGGTTTAAAAACATACAAAAAACAGGTGAAAGAGATTTTTTTTTGTTTTTGCCATTTGACTTGTAGCACATTTAGAAATAAAATGCTGCTTTAAACTCAAAGAGACTTGTGTCTGTTTTATTATACATAGGATCACTATTTTATAGTTCCAAGTGATTATTTTCCTTGAAGAAAAACTTTTTTTTTAAATGTACAGTATATGCTGCAGAAAATAATATAATGGATTAATGTGCCATGCGGCTTCATGTTAGTATATTTAAGTTGATTAAACCTGTATTAAACCTAAATGGTGTAATTAAACATTTTCAAAAATGAAAACTTTTGTACTTTTTTTCATTCTTATTTTCCAAACATGATTTCAGATCCATTCATTTGTTCACTAATGGCACAGGATGCCAGTCAAATTCTGTATCTCCAAGAACCTAGACAACTTAGGCTTTTCTCTTCCTTTCTACCACAACGGCTCCTAGTGGCATAGTAAGTGGACCAACAGGGGACAGTAGGACCAGGGGTAGTTCTCTACTGGGAGCCTCCTTCACCAGCATGGGGAGTGTGTCCTCAAAGATCAACATATGGGCAGACTAAAGGCCAAAACCACTTTAACTGGTAAATTCAGTTGCATGAAACAAATACTGGTTATTTTGTATGCTCGAATATTTAAATTGGTGTTGTTTTGTATATTCAAATGCTCAGAATATGAGGCATGGTAAGGCAGTATTCCACCTATGTGATAGCCTACTGACCATCAGTAAGCTGCCTGAAGGGTGGTTTGTCTTGTGATGTAAAACAAGTTCTACATTGAAATCGACAATCAATCTTATTAAATAACTTTTCCCTGTGGTGGTTCACCATTATCTCTATGACATAAGAAGTGCCAATGCAAAAATAAGTTGAAGAATTTCAAATACGTTTGTATTTTAAGCAGGAGGGTTCCACTGCAGTTTTTAAAAAAAGTTGGTTTGATGCATTCAAATATTTGTTTTATTTCAGTTCCTTGTCAGTCACACTTTCAAAGTACTAGCACAAATGCATCCTGACAGAATAGCGCAGGTATAATGAATTACGAACGTCATCTAAGTTCTCAAGCAGTTGTCTGAAAATTAAAATCTGGTGTTTAAATTCAAAACGTAAAACCCTTTGTGATGTCCCAACAAAAAAATAACTCATTAGCCTGATAAATGTATTTACTAGACTGTGAAGTGGCAATATCTTCTAACTAGGCACAGATCTAGAATTCTCAATAAATTTCAGAACCTAAACGGGATATATTATTAATTAGTGACAAAAAGGTACTAAGTATCTATTTCGGCTTTATTCAGTGATTGGCCCATCATTTGTTAAAATGTAATATGTCATGAAGTAATATGTATAAAGACATAAGAAACAGCTGACTTCCTACTGCAAAGTGATACTGTTTTTTTTCTCAGCCTACACCTTTGTGATAACCTTGTTGACACGGTAATTTAGGGTGTATTGATGAGAAAATGCTACATCATTTTTGTTACATAGAAGTGCTACAATACATATTACTATGTCCCAAAATCACAAGATGTTTATACAGTAAGCATTGCCGAATACTTAATCCGAAATGTGATTAGAAATGAGGAAATGCAAGAAACAAGCCTTTTCATAGAAAATAAATACGTTCCACACACTGTCTGGTTTATTATAGCTTTTATTAGAGGAAACGCAAGGGGCATGATGTTGTACATGAAATGTGAATCCCATTTCAGAAAATGTAAACATAAAAATATGTGTACTTAGGATTACAAGTCATTACAGAACATTACATGTTCTATAGTCTGGATAGGCAGCATCCTGCAGTGTTGTTTATTAGGGTGTATCAACAGCAATCAACAATAACTGAATTAAGCTAATTAAACAAACCCTGATTTACAAGCCCTTATCAAGACTTTAACTGTCACTCACTGAAATATAATTTAAACATAAAACATTACAGATTTATTTGACACCTCACTGAAAAGCCTAGAAAATAAGGAAGTCAAGTTTTCCCATACAAGATAATGGTACCCTGGTGACATGGTGGGGCAGTTGTTAGCATTACTGCCTCACAGCGCTGGGGCTCTGGGTTCAGTTCTGGACCTTCGGGTGCTGTATGTGTACTGTTTGTACGTATTGTTCGCCTTGTTCGTGTGGGTTTCCTCCAGGTGCTCCGATTTGATTTCCGCAGTTCAAAGACATAATGGAAGGTTAATCTGTTTCGGGGTCAATGGGCCCTGGTGTGAGTATGTGTGTCTGTGTTTATGCCCTGTGACGAAATGGCATTCCATCCAGGTTGTATCCCATTCGTTGAGAAGATAGGCTCTGGCTCCCCCACAGCCATGTATTGGATAAAACAGGATGGATGGATAAAACACCTCGAAACATCCCATTCCAAGCAGACAGACAAATCTGCAGATCAGTTGTACTGTCATTTTGGAAGTAGTTCCCTGTAGAGCTGAGATTTTAAGTTCCTGTATGTAAGGTTTTAAAACTGTTTTCTACATAAACACTTAACAGCTTCTAAGCTGTCTTTTGGATTTGAATAATTTATACCATGAATCATCATGGCGTATTATAATGTTACTTTTAACAGGTTCATTTGTGTTCATTTGTAAAAATAATCTCTTAAAAAAAAATAAACACATAGTTTTGGCATTAAAATTAGGCTTGACTTGCACATTAAAATGTACCCCATTAAACATTAAACCATTAACCATACAGGTGCACAGAATTAAGGAAAACAGCCAATTAGTGTTTGCAAAAAGTTGACGACTTTGCAGGACAAAGGTCAAAGTCCCATTCAGCAAAGCAGGCAATTAAACTAATGATGGCAGAGTGTGCTGCATTAAGTGGCTAAAATGGAGAAAAGATTGCTTAATTAAAGGCTGAGAGCTTCCTGTAATTAGGACCAGCTGAGATTAGCCTACGTCGATGTTCTAGTGGGGATTTGCAGGTAATAGAGTTATTATTGGGCTCAAGGAGTGTTACATTACACCTCTGAATAAACAAAAACAAATTAGAAGAAGTCGTCCAATAATGGGTTATCTTGTCAGCAACTGACAGAAATCCATGGTCTATAACACAGTGTTAATTTTATGCATCACTGACACCCACGGTTCAAATCAATAACAGTACTATAAAGTGAGGAAAACCATCAATTAGGTTTTTGGTTTAGTAGGGGGGAAAAATCCACAGTTTCTGCATTTTTAAATTGTTTTAACCTAACAGACAATTTGGCTTTTGGGAGCCCGCTTTGCTCACTTACAGCCTGAGCCTGTTTTCACTAAAAGCTTGTTTTACTGGAACTGATCATTCTAAAACAATAATATGCTCTGGAATTTCCACAGATAAAACAGCAACACCTTTGGATCAGACATTTGTTTTGTATACTTTTTAGACACAAAGGACTTTAAAAAAATGTTTTAAAAATAGAACAGAAGTCATTTTC